AAACTAGCCAGCAAATTGTTCACCGCTGCATCTATCGAGCTATGCTTCATCAATATATGGCTTGTTAAGTATAATCCAATCATTAAAAATGTATATGAAAGGAAAGACTTCTTCACAATTAATTAAAATGTATGTGTGAGCCTTGTACATACCTTCATCCGGTAGATGAACATGTGATCCGAGATGGAGCTTTAAATATGTTTTAACCATTGGTCCATATACGAATATTCAGGGGTAAATTTTGATACTCGCGGTTTAGCTGTGTCTCTATGGTTGGATGAAATATAATGAGCAATAGGTAGGTAGTTCATTAACCAAAAATACCTCCACAATCGACCCTTCTACCTTTTCTATGTTTCTCACTGTCTTTTTCAACGACCTTAGACGTCTCTAGCAGAGATGCATCCATCAATATTATACCAACCCCTAACTATTGCTTAACACGCCAAATTTACCAGAAGGTGTTCCATGTAATCAAAGAATCCCAGTAGGAAAACTCTTTCCAACATGTAGATAGTTTCAACTATATTTGTTTGTAACTCAAGTTAGTCATCAACGTATATCACTTTTGAGCATATTACAAGAAAAAATGTGCATAACTCAATAATAACATCCTATTGGATTCGGTACCATACCTTTAATGGAAATAGGGAGCAATGTTGCATGAACATGTAGTCCTCCTGGCTCTTGAAGCCATAAAAACTATCATCTTTAAAGTTTATTAATGCCCATATGTTGGAATCATAGTCGTCTGAAAATTTCAGCCTCTTCAATCAATCGCACATCTTACGTACTTGCTATTTGTTCAATGTGTAGGAAGCTTTTGGTTTAAAGATTCTATTATGTTCCTCCCTTATATGTCATTCCGATCAATTGCAGTATACTTCTAAGTATTTCCTTGATTTTATGTTGTCCTTTGATCTTGGCGTGTCCCTAATCGTGTGAACGAGATTACCAAACACTTTCTTTTTAATGTGCATTACATCTAGGTTGTGTCGGGTCAACAAAGTGTGTCAATAGGGCAGCTCCTAGAAAATGCTCCGTTTTACCTACTTGTGTATTACCCTAAAAGCTACAGGATTTCTATAGTGCCTTGACCCATGTAGGACACCATCATAAACCATAGGAAGGATACAGACTTGTATCAATATTTGCTCCTTGGTTAGCAACAGGTGTGGATCAGCTTTTTTTGCATGTCCAACATGAAATTGGTTCCTATCACGCCTGAACAGGTGTCTCAATTATAGAAACTTGCGATGACAGTCAAATCAACACGATTTTCCTCCGCTTTGCAACTGGAATGCACATGCATTACCCCATGCAATACAGATAAGCTAACTTACAATGTTGCTCCAACCAGACAGCATGTATAAACAGGATCGCTAACCGTCCACAACAGTACGAACCTCATTGTGAAATTCTTCCTACGATATGCATCATACGTAATGACACCCTCAAATAATAACGTCTACAACTTTTTGATCGATGACCGAAGAGATACATCTAAAAAATTTCTAAGGCTCTTCTTTTGGGGAATCAGCAAAGCTAGGTGGACGTAGCACTCTTTCATGCACATCCGAGGTGGTAGATTGTCGTTTGTAAGAAAGACGGTCCATAATGAACGCAGACTATTAGCAGATAGTTTACTGGTTGCTATCTCTTTCCCTTGAGCCTGGTATTAATTCTTTAAAGCCTTCAGAAAATACTTTATTTGAAGATGATGATGGTGCAAATAAAATCCATGAATCATGGGTTACGTTTAGAGCCGAAGTAGCAATATAGAACGAAGCTGAGATTTATGCTCGCATGCAAAGTCTCCAAAGCCATTATTACATTCGATATATACGATACTGCTTTCTCAATATACTTCGAAGTCCTTAGACCTGGAAAGGAAACCAGATTGGAGTCCCAGGATCCATAGTACCTGCAGCCTCCCGGACTTTATTGTGTTCAAGTTATTGGGGTTGAAACCATCTGTACATAAGCCAAGAAGAACATTCCCGATCTCTTGAACAAAATAGGGATGTATTCTGTCAAAATGTTTTCAATCCTCCACATAACTCGGATGTACTATCTTTCATGAATGAGTCTGACGATCATGGTGCCAAGTCATCTCTTTTGCTGTTTTTTATACATAAACAACCATTCTAATCTTGATGCAATAGGAAAATACGTCAACATCAAATTAGACACTTTATTGTTTCATCTAGTTGTCTTGTAATGAGGCTCCCCACACACTCCAATACTATTATAATCAACATATTCCTTATAAAATAGCATGGAATAGTTTTTGCACGCATGGATCTTTTCTTTTTGAAGAACAAGTTGTTTCTACATCTTCTTTGTCTTGTAAAAGCTACTGATCAGTTGTTCATCGTACGGTAGCATTTCTTTAATCCTCAGAAGTACCCGATTGTATGTTATCTCTGGTATATTGCAATCTGTTTTCCAAATCAAAAAACATTTTCGTTGCCTGTAACTTTGAAAATCTCTTACATCCCTCCCACAACGGCTAATCATAGAAACATCGTGCATCTGGATTGGATCTTCCTCGTCCCACGTACTTGATGTACTGGGAACATTTTGGTCTATCACCATTTTCTTAACACCATCAAACTCATCATAATATTTGTACGCTATTGTTTGTTACGTTTGTTGAACTTCGGTTGTAACTTCATTACTTCACTATATGCTTACTAATGAGTATAAGAAAGCATGAATCCCTTTTTTAATGAGTCTAAATTCACCGCCTCTCTCCCTTTATATTTAAGAAGTTTACATTTCTTACAAGGACATCTTATAAGAAATCCTACCCCCTCATTTGTGGCTGTCGGTTGAATATATCGCTTATTGGAGAAAGTAAAATCCAAAAATCTAACTACTTCAGCACTGAAAACTTGGTTTATTATACCATTCCTAACTAATCGTTTATGCTCCATCCTCTATCGATATTAGTTGACATATCTACAAATTGACGAAATTATGATTAGGTAGAATTTGAAATAAAGTTTAATTTAAAGATATAAACATGTTTCGAAGAAATCAAAAGTATGTAATTGACTTTTTAAAAGAAATCAAAACATGTTTTAGGTGTAATGGTTTTGAAAAGGCAAAGCAAATTGGTGTAATGAATTTGAAGGATATATACATGTTTTGAAACCAAAAGGTGTAATGGAGTTTTAATAAGTCGTAAGAAAACAAAACATCACCAATTTGCTTTGTGAGTTGAGTCTAAAACATGTCTGAATCATAAGCCATCCCATTTCTAACAAAACATTACCACTTTGTTCGAAACCATGTCTTTTGATTCGAGCCTAAAATAAGTTATAAGAAAACAAAACAATATTAATACAAACCTAATATTTGCTCAATAATTGACAACTCATTTCTAACACAAATATACGACAACTATCTTTATAAATATAAACCCTAACGTTTGTCTAACAATTGGCAATCCATTTCTAACACACCTTATATACAAAAATTACATTTATAAGTACAAACCATAACATTTGCCCAACAATCGACAGCTTATTTCTGACACAAAATATACAATTTACCCAACAATTTATCTACATATGAGAAACTTACATACATATATAGATATAACCAACAATTTGTCTACATATGCAAAACTTATATACATATATAGGTGTACCCAAATTTGTCTACATATGCAAAACTAACATACATATATAGGTTTACCCAACAATTGTATATGTGGTATATTTAGATTTACATATACACATATTACATACACATACATACATTTTATTTACACATAGATACATGCATATAAAAGAGGGAAAATGGGAAGAAAAAAAAAAAGGTTTTCTAACTTAAACGTTGGGTTATTACCGACGGACTAGTCCACGGCTAATTTTTTTAACTTAAGATTTTTAAAAGTGCCGCATGTTTTCAAGAAAAAATTTAAAATTTTCAAATTCCAACGATATTCCACCGGCAATTAACCGGTGACGGAATATTCGTTGGAAATCCGTTGATAAATTAAGTTTTCATTAGTATTATTATCATTATCATAGCGGTGCTCGCATAGCGGATTGGATATCCAGGTTAATAAAAAAAATTAGATTCCCCACCCTCCTCTGGGGCTCTAGTTAGTTATTGTTTTTTGATTGAATAACACTTTAAAATGTTGAGTTTGTTTATATAAAAAGTATTATTTACAGGATATCTATAATTGTATAGAAAAATATGGGTGAATTTAATGGGAATGTTGAGTTTTATCTGGATTGACTTTTGGTGTAGATACATGAAATTCATAATAAAAAAGTTGTGTATTCAATAAAATAACGTTTTTATTTTAAAACATTTAAAAACCTTGGAAGAACGAAGAAGAATTTGATATGAATAGATAATATTTCAAGTGGGTGATTGAGGTTCAAGACTATGGATTTTTATTTTTGAAGTTTGAGGAGGAGCCAATTCCACTTCTAGCTCCAAGCTAGCTCCGCCCATATGCTCACAACACCCGAGCGAATACGATGACAAAGGTGCTTCCGACTGCTAATTTTGAGCCTTGCAATGCAAGTACTTAAGATACATAAACGAATTCGTAAGTCGTTTATTTCTTCCAAGATGTTAGGAAAATAAAAAAAGAACAGCTGACAAACATTTATATCCCCACAATTTCCTCCATCCGAAAATCTTTCCCAAAGCCATGGCATTAACGTCTTTCATTAGGTACGTATATTTATAGGTTTTCCTGCATTCGGGGGGTCCTTTTGCAAGTCCCTCTATTCAGAGCATGGAGGACCCCTAACCCCTCCCTCTATTCAAGAAACTTCCCTTTTCATTTTATCGGATTTACGTTAATGTTCTTGCGAAATGATAATTACATGCTTATGAACAGATGATATGTTTTGAGCTTCAATGATCGATATCATGTAACACAAAGCATGTAATCTTCTTTTATCGATTCTACATTCGCGGGTCGTTTATTTCTTTTATCATAAAGATAATATATGAGGGCATAAGATATGAATTGTTTGCCATGCTTCGGAAGCAAGAATCCAGAAAACAACGAACATGAGGATTTACCTGTGGCACAAGCAAAAGGAAACCCTTCTTCTCAACCTCCTGGTATGTATGTATGTATGTATGTATGTATGTATGTATGTATGTATGTATGCATATACTTGTTAATAAGAATGAAGATATTAGTAGATTTAATGATCAATGCTTATTTTATTTGTTTTTTTAGAGGAAAAACAAGAATAGAAAATAGAGAAGATGATGTAGCATACCCAATCATGTATAGTCACATGCATGCAGAATCATTTGGTTTCTTATGTTTTTCAAATCCTTATATACCTTATTGATAAACCTTTGTTAGGAAAAATAAACATAAGTTTACATATTCTTTGAATTATTCACAAGTCGCTCTAAACCTCTGATTCAATAAGTTCGTTAGTTTCAGTAAATAATACTGCCTCAGCACCATCAGGGCCTGCTAGTCAAGCCAATGACCAAAAACAAGAAAGTGTTGTTGCCGCTTCTCCTACTTCCGCTGCTGCTCCTCCTCCTCCTCCTCCTACAGCCACTAATACGAATGAAGCCAACGACGCCCCGAATGGTTCAGCCCGTAGTTTTTCTTTCCGAGAGTTGGCCATGGCAACCAAAAATTTCCGGCGAGAAAGTCTATTAGCTGAGAGTGGATTCGGAAAAGTTTATAAAGGAACTCTTGGTACAGGCCAGGTTAGTGAACTTGATTTTTTACCTACATGTGTCTAATCTTTTATATAGAAGTCAGGTTCTATGTGAGTGAGAGGGATCCATGCATGAGAGTCTGACATATAAATCTGTATTCAAATGTATGAAGGTTGTGTCTGTGAATCAACTAGACAAACATGGAACAAAAGCAAACAAAGAGTTCCTTGTTGAAGTCATGACATTGAGTCTTCTTGACCATCCAAATCTTGTGGATCTGATAGGGTATTGTGCTGATGGAGATCAGAGAATTCTTGTATATGAATACATGCTAAAGGGTTCCCTTAACAATAATCTGCATGGTATGTCTTTTCTTTCTTTTCTCTAACTATAATTAAAGATCCAAAGTTTTCTTGTAGAATCCTATTTTCCTAAAACTGTTTACAACTTACCATTCTCAATCCCTACTCAACGTGGGATCGGTTCATTGGGTTGGTTTTATTTGGTTTTGTTGTTATGCTTGTTTTATATGTCTTGATACTCTTCCATTACGTTGTGAAGACATGAGCTTGTGTCACTGGGTAGTATGATTCTCAATTTTTCTGCTTAAATGACAGACGTTCCACCGGAGAGTGAGCCATTGGATTGGATGACAAGGATGAAAATAGCATCAGGAACTGCACAAGGTATGGAGTATTTACACGAGAAGGCAAATCCACCCATTCTCTATCGCAACTTCAAGTCTACAAACATTCTGCTGGATGAAAACTTCGAGCCGAAGCTCACAGATTACGGGCTTATTAAGCTTGAAAACGACTCTGGTAATTCTATGCAGCAAAGGATAGTGGGCAATGTTGGTAGTGCTCCAGAATATGAACAAAATGGTGAGCTCACCCCAAAATCCGATGTTTACAGTTTTGGAATTGTTCTACTCGAGCTCATTACAGGAAGAAAAGCCCTAGACACCAGTCGCCCGATGGACGAGCAAAATCTTGTCATCTGGGTAATGCTCATAGGATTGTTTATATGTCTAAAGTCGTCATAAAACGTGTGAAAAGCTGCATATAGTTTGTTTTCTCAGTTCATTATCATGCATTGATTGAAACAGGCACAACCCTATTTTAAAGAGCCAAAAAGATATCCTGAATTGGCAGATCCACAGTTGCACGGAGCATTTCCTGAAAGAAGTTTAAATCAAGCAGTTGGGGTGGCAGCCATGTGTGTACAAGAGGAGCCATCTGTTCGGCCATTTATCTCTGACGTGGTAGCAGCTCTTGGGTTCCTCACGGTGGCTCCACCAGCAGGGTCGTCCTCACCTACAACAACCAATCATCCACATCAGAAAACTCATGATTCATCATCGTCGTCTTCATCATCATCAGCGGAGCCGGAACAGGGTCAGAAATACGGTTCAGAAGATCTTAGTAGTAGTTATTCTGAAGATGTGGATGAACAAAGCCCCATCAAAATCAAAAGTAACAAGATTGAGTATGATGAAGATAGAAGTGGCAGTTCGTCAGAAAGTTTATATAACGAAGACGATTACGATGAGGATGAAAGCCAACAAGAAGAAACGAACTATGGATCAAAATCAAAACCAAAAAGCATCAAAAGAAAAGTTACATTCGAAAAAGAAAGCCCAAATTTGTGCAAGAAAAGTGTGGATAGGAAGTCATCGAAAAACAACAAAACTGCCGATGTTAGTTTGAGCAAGAAAAGTGACAACGTATTCCAAAATGACCAACCGAAGAGCAATTGCAAATTGAGCCCAAGAAGATCAAAAAGCAAGAAACTGGAAAATGGCGATAGCAGCGACTGGTCATTATCATCAGATGATGGTTAAAGCAGTAGAAGATTGGGTACCTTAGTAAACGAGAAAAACCAGCTTTGGTAATCAAATGGTATTGGAGCATGAAGAACTAACAGAGATGTAGAGAATTTGGATAGAAGTGAGGGTTAAATGCAAGATTCAAAGGTATATACGTTTAAATTTGAAACAACGGATTAGTGTCGTTGTATATGCTTGTGTGTAATTTGTACATTATCAATCATTTTTAGCTGTAACAAGTAGAAAGAATTGTCAAGATTAAAATGTATGTTTTTTTTGGACAAAGGGTATTATGACTGCTACAATGTAGAAGATAAAAATGCAAAAGGAATAACTATAGCCGTAAACGAACCGAACGTTCAGCAAACCGTTCGTGAACGTTCGGCAGGAAGTTCGTTTATGTTCGTTTATTTAATAAATGAATGAACATGAACAATTTTTTTTGTTCGTTTAGTTAAACGAATGAACATGAACGAACGTCTCATTCGTTTGTTTATGTTCGTGAACGTTCGTTTGTTTACTGTTCGTTTATATTTGTTCGTTTATGTTCGTTTATGTTCGTTTATATACTAAATTTAATATATAATCTTTTGTTTATTTACTTTGAATTCAAATAATTTTTATTTATGCCTGTTTAGCCGGTTCGTTTATGTTCGTTTAGTCCGTTCGTTTATGTTTATGTTTGTTTAGCATGTTAACGAACGAACACGAACACACCTGATTTCTAAATGAGCGAACATGAACACAAAGATTTTCGTTTGTTTACCCTTCATGTTCGTTCGTTTGTTCGGTTAAGTTAAACGAACGAACATGAACAAGCCTTCGTTCGTGTTCGTTCGGTTCGTTTACAGCCTAGGAATAACCACAAGGGTGGTGTCTGATTGGTTTGAGTTTGGTTCCAAAGGTCAAAAGTACCAGGAGGTCCCAGGTTCAAGGAATAAAAATCATCTTGTGACCATGGAGGTTCGACAGGGCAACTGCCAGCAATTGAAAGAAAGTTGCGAACAAATCATTATTCTGCTTTACGGATCTATTTAATTTTAATTCAAGTTTCATGACTTTCTCGAAGGATCTATAAACAATTTCTCATGCACAAAACCAATGAATTTTCTATAGAAAGCTTGATCACCTAACTTGACATTAAAGCAAAATCGTAACTCATCAAAGTTGAGCAGGGTATGTAAATATTTTATGTATATATTATATATACTTCAAAAAATCACCGCTTTTCTAAACCCTAATAAAAACACTAAAATTACAATGGGAAAATTAATTCAACTTGCAACTTCCAACCTCAAAAAACGGATCAGAACCGGAACCTCAGATGAACCAAAACAAACCACTACAACAACGCCTAAATGTGTTTGGTACACAATACACGATGAAAGATGACTGTATAAATATTTCTTATCCCATGTTTGGTACGTCATTAGACTTGGATAGCATAGGACCCGAGTGGGACAATAATCCTTATTATTGTTCCACAAAATAGGTGAAACAAAGATTAGGGAAATAGTTGGTAAATAACGAAATTACTCATGTTAAACTAATATCTAAAAAAAGTCCATGGTTCTTTCACCCTCCTATCTCAATCTTGGCCATCAAATGTTATGTCCAGTTCTATCCGCGTACCAAACGCATTAGTAAAAGTGACAAGGGGTTCGTTTGCTACAATTGTCGTAAACTAGGTCATATTGTACGAAAATTGTTGTAAACTTCTATATGCTAATCCTTTCAATTTATTGACTTGTTGGAGAAAGTAAAAAGTTGATCTTGAAAGAACGTATTGAAACTTTTGTTTCACAGAATGTTAGGAGAATGATTATTTGTAACTATTTAAGTTGAATATATACGTTACATTGTCATAGTAAGACATTTTTATTTTTATTTTTATTTGTAAGGATTTTACTATAATATATGGTAGTGGTGTTCATGGTGTGGTTTGGTGCAGTTTAGGCCCACACCGCAAACTGTAACAAACTGAACCACATTTTGATTTATACGGTTTGTACCTATCGCATTTCGATCCAATAATCAGAAAATTGGAACTTCGAAATAAATGTGACGATGTTTTCATGTTCCATACAATAAAAGTTCCAATATATACAAAATGCATAATTAAAAAAAGTGTAACGCAAATTAAAGATTTTGATAACTTTTCCAAATACATCTGAAAAGTTAACTTCAAAATGAATTCGACCATAATGTTTGACAAAAGACAAAAAAAATCAAATAATGAATCTATAACATAAAATCTGAAATGAAAAGAAAATTTCATAAAAACTCAATAATGTATTAACTATTTTTATTTGGTAAACATTATGCTCCTATAATATATATATATATATATATATTCTGAGATTCGCTACCGTCAGTAGCCTTCCTCCGAAGGCGAGCGATTGTGATGGGAGGCGAGTGTCTGAGTGAGTTGAGTGAGGAAGTAAGATCCCTGAGGAAGCATAGGAAGCAAAAGTTGGATCGGGTTTCACTATTGTGTTGGTTAATGCCCAACCACCTTCACCTAAGAAGGCAAAGAAATCAACTTCATAACCTTTTCCATTATCAGTAGTCGCAGTGGACGAATCGAGACAATAAAAATACAGGTAGGGTTTGGTTCCGATGGGAATGAGTTAAGGTGAGAAGCCAACAGGGTCGTTCCTGAGGGAGAACGGGTCGGGCGTATGCCCAGGGCCACAAAAAAACAAAAATTGGGGACCCAAATTTTTTTAGTATATGATAGTAGTTCAAAAAATTAGTAAATAGAAGAGACAAAAAAATAGTATCTAATACGACCAGAAATGATTTCGGTACTACATTAACTATTAAATGCCCAAGCACATATTTATTAAATATATTAGAGAAGAAAATACTAAAAAAGTTAATTTGTCATTCATTATTTAATATTGTTTAACGTTTATCTAGGTTTTTTTTTTATTAACCTGGATAACAAACCCGCTATGTGAGCCGACTAATACCAGAGCAACCACCTGCTTTGCAGATAGCTTGGAGTCACCGCATTTGAATCTCCGTGGCCACGAGGGGATCTTTATTGCTTCTTGGATTTGAACCTGAGACCTCCTGATACTTTTGACCTTTGGAGCCAAGCTCAAACCAATCAGGCACCACTCTCCTAATACTGACGTCTAAAACTATTTGCCTCGAAAATTTTGATATATTTTTCATAATTCATTTCGATCGACTCTTTTGGTTATTCCATACTCGCATGAATTATTTTTTTGTATTATAATATAGTAGATTTTATTGTTATTAGCTAACAAAACCCTCATCTTTTGAAAAAATTACCAATCATATGAGACGATACAACTTATATCTATATTTGAAATAATAAAACTACGATTGTTTCTTTTCATATTTGTTCTTTATCACATAAGCTTGCTATCAAAATTTTCACCTCAAAACAAAATCACATAAGATAAAATTCTCAATAAATCTTATATGCAAACACACGCAAATTGGCAAGCTTATGCATTTCAAATTTCACCCTTTAGCCACAACACAACATGAAATAAAGTTCCAATAAGACGTTGCATGCAATCACATGAAATCAAGTGAGCTCCTATATTCAAATTGGAACCAACCTCTCTTTTGTGCCAAATTAGGGGTGCTCAAAATACTGCTCAAATCACATCTATTGGGTTGGAAATGGGTTAGGGTAATTTGAACCAAATCCAATGAACCTGATGTTTTTCTATATTATGAATTTAATATGATTGTTAGGTTATTGGTTAATAAATGTACATTAGACCAACCCATAATCAGTTATATTCAAAATTGTATTACAATTTCAACCATAGTTTTACTTTCTTATTCACATGAACCTTCAACTTTTTTTGAGTTTTTTAGCCTTTCCTGCATGTTCTTATTTTGCTTCTTTTAAACTCAAACAATTAGCTTGATTGTAAAATGATATATCAAAGTTTCAACCCAACCCACACGGTTTGGTTGGGTTGTGTTGTAGTTTTGATTGGGTTAGGTTGGGTTGAGAGTTTTCAAACCACAAATATTGGGTTGGGTTATTCAAATGCGTTCAACCCGGCCAACCCAAACCATGTGCAGCCCTATGCCAAATCATGTTACAAAATATGCAACGTAAGCAAATGCGTTTTGGATAAAACATGGAATAGTTCATGTCAATTTTAGATTTAAAGTTATCCAACAGTATGCGTTCAACGATTCGCAACACCAACAAAAACAAGAAGAAAAAAACTTCCAATAAAAGTTTGTTTGAAAACCATATGCAATGAACAATTCGTGATTTTTAAAACATCGGTTACACTCTCTTGTGTGCCAAAACATCCTCCAAAATTTGTAACATGACAAATATGAATGACTTGACAAAGCATGGGATAAATTATGTAATGTATTTTAAAAATAAATATCGTGCATGCTTTTGACCGAGACCCGAAGTCTTAAAACCACGCTCGCCAAGTCTACTAGCCACCCTACTGACATCGGAATTCTTAAATATCATAAGGCGATAATCCTGAATCAAGTCGACTAGCCTTACAATTCCTCCAAATGAATGATGATTCAATAAGACTATGGTTCCAACTTAACCAATATCTTTGACCTAAAACGGTCGGTTTAACGTAATCACCATACTTAATTGTCACTCAAAGGGACAGTGCTACAAACATCAATGCTTCTAACAATTATTCATTAGGAATTCACTCACTACTCCATCGATCATCAGAGAAAAGGCAATTTAAGCACATATAAGTAACTATAAATTAATAATAACACTAGACAGGTGCAACCATGAACATACCATATATGAGAATTCTTTCTACCATCGTCATGATTCTCGATTCTAAAGAACTCCATCGACCTTAAAATATTCTATCTCAAAGTGCCTAATCGAACATTCTCACTTTCATTCACTTAGGAAAATGCTAGTTTGAGTCTAGGCATCCTAAATCAATACATACATCTCTCAAATATGCTTTGATACCACCTTGCAGCACCGTCAAATCTGGAAAGAGCGACTAATTTAAAATTTTCGATATATCATTAAATAAGGAATAAATTACTTTCTAAATGTCAACACTTGACTCCTAAAAATAAATGCTTACCGGATAAGTATTTAGGTAAACGGCCGTTAATCGGCTTCATATAACCTATGGGTCTGATTCGTGATCGTGACCATGGTTCATGTAACTGTAACCAATCGCATCCAACTGGGCCACCACTGGGCTTTTGGTGTAACTGAGCTACTAGCAAACAGTTTGTGTGTTTCTTCTTTTACTTTTCTGTATTTGTATTTATAATTAAACAATTAAAACATTTTCTAATTTATGCGAGTAAAAAAAGTTAAAAATGTGTTATTTAATTTTATAATAAACAAAAAGTTCTAAAAATATGTCAACCTCCTATGAGGAAACTGTTATTTTACGTGACAATCGTTTATAACATTGGACGATATGAACCGGTTAACGACTCCGTCCTTCTCTAAGGGTGCACAAAAAACCGTCAACCCGCTCAACCCAAACCGCCAACTCAATGAATTAATGATATTAAATAATATAAATTGGATTATATTCTAAAAATTAAAAAATAAGACAAAAAAGATTTTTCAAAAGAAATCAAATATCACATTATAAAACCCGTGGGCATGCCACAGGCTTAACGACACGAGCTTTGAGCCACGCCCACAGCTCACGAAAGGAATTCTATTTGTTTTCAAACAAGCGAGTGTCCAGCGGTACAAGATGAAAACTGCAATAGTATGTGGTTTAGAAAATCTTGTTTGTCAAACATAAACATTGGTGGTGGTATATGACATTATATTCTACAAAAATTCCCAGGTTAAACCACAACTGTTTGTTTCAACTTCCTCTACAGTGTGTATGATGAAAAAGAATGTGTAAGAAATCAAAGAATTCACCGCCGGCTTTGAAGGGCCTCGATTGCCTTCTTCCATTGGAACGCTCTCTGCTTCGGATCCTCGAATGACATAACTTTCTTTGGCTGCATTTTATAAATAAATATAACAATAAGGAATATAGTCTTTAAATATAATAAGGAATATGTCAATAACAAGGGAAAGGGACTCACTAAGCAAATTTTGAAATTTGTGGGGCTCATGACCTGGATGCTAAGGTCATTAGGATTGTCTGACCAGATTATGTTCCCTTTAGTCACTAGCTTTGCCGGGTCGACATAAATTAACTTTGGCTTATTCGTGAGGATAAGCTGTACTTTCTTGCTCGTAAGTTTCTGCAGTTTCTTCACCATTGAGATCATAAGAATGGTTTCGCCCGGCTCCAAAAATTGCTGCCTGTTCAAAATTTATGTCTGAATTAACTGTCCCATATTTCTTTCCAGCTTATGAGTTGTCTGAGCATAGGAAGGAAATGTTACCATTTGGAGTCAAAGGAGTCCATTGAAGCAAGCCTAGTTACATTACTAGCTTCAGAAAAAGATGTGGCATCACCAACATTAGACGGGTTGAACGAAGAATCATGAGTGTCCTCACCCCCACTTGAGTGACCCTGAAATAAGTTGAGACGATAGTTATAGTTTATGGGGAAAGTAAGATGCGACTCCCTCTATCCAAACCACATCTCTATTTTAGTTTGTGCGCAAAATACGTGTGCACTTTCAGATACTCCTTCTGTCAAGGGTAAAGTTGTCATTTATTTCATTAAAAAGTGTAATAATTACATGTTCCTAAAATAGAGTGCCTTTTTTATTGTGAACATTGGTATGGAGGGAGCATCTGTTTAGACACATTTAGGTTCCATTCGCTGTACTACTTTCCTTGGTCTTCCATCCCCTATTGAAGGCCGTTTCTTTGATTTTTTCCGTCAAGTAAGATCCAGAATCACATCTTATATTTCTTTTTGCAAGATAAATGCATCCATAAGATAGAAAGATTAATTTAGCCAAAATGAATCAAATCTTAATATTTCTAATCATTTTGTCTTATATGGTGCAAGGGAAAAATGAAGATGTGATATATGGGTCGAGTTCCTGTTTAACAGATGCGAGAGAGTCACAATGGTCCCCAGAAAATTGAGAATAGACATATACCATATAAAGTGATTCTTTTTTTTTTTTTAACCAATAAATATAAATACGTATAATTCACCTGCAATGCAGGTCTTGGAGGACTTCGGGACCTTAGATCATGCCAATCAATTGTTTGGAAGAAAGGATGATTCTTGAGTGAAGCATAACCCTCACATCCTGCACCAGGTCTTTTTGCAAGATCAATATCCTACATTGATTCAATTCAATTAAAACCCAATTTTATCATCTGCAATTTACCAAAAAGAAAAGAAGACCAGTCACATGCATTTTCATGTCTGAATCTGATATACCAGATAAGCCCTAAGGCCCGATGAAACAAAGGCTAGTAAGCTCAACTAACGAAAACCCAAAATGGTCAAGGCACAAAAGGCCTCATAGAATGCGACAACTCTCGACATTTGCTAGAGCAGCATAAACTGGTAATTCCCATGCTGCTCTTCATCATCTACCATCAACATTGCTAATGATATTGATATCATAGTTGTTACAAATAAGGTATATCACTGCACCCCAACTGGGATATATCAATAATTTCTTCATGCCATAAATCAGAAATAAATCAGGTACAAGAAAAAGAAGAGATGACCCGACTTAAATTGATTCAACAACAACAAGAATTACTCAGACGCTCTATCTGAACCCTTATAGCACGTACTACAGTTTCCGTGTACTGATTTCGGCTAATTGCTTTCGGTCTGATCCTCCTCCCCAAATGCCCTCTTTTTGCTAAATTGTACCCTGCTCATCAACATTGCAGATCATATTATAAATCTACACTAGAGATAGGTGGACTCCTCACCCACCTATCTTCTTAGAAAAAGTGACCCCTTTTACATATTTCCTTGGTTGCTTCAATGATCTCATATGAATGTGCTTCAATAATAGTTGTCCCTAGGCAAATATCCATTAAATCATCCCATTGGCACCAAAGAAAATATAATAATCTGCTGCATTGTCATTCTAGGATGACAGGTTAGACTTTGGTTTATTTCCCTCCTACCCTCTCTCCTCTTATAACTTAATCAGCTTCATGTTAATAATATATCCAGTCAAATCAATGAAACTACAAAAGAACCTCTTTAAATTAATATCAGTAGGGCTATGATATTTTAGGAAGTTATAGAGGTATATCAACAAACAGATAAATCAATATTTATTCATTTAAAAATTGTTTTTATGATACATAAAAATCGTTGTATCTTACTAATTTCTATATCATGTTCACTGAATTAATATAAAAATAAATACATTGTACATGTTAGCAGTAAAATATATGATGTATAAATCATTTTATTGTGCATTGTTTCTTCATTGTATGTAATTAATGATTCATTATAAATTTATAACGTTCATTGTTTTTTAACAATAAAATGCTATTCATTGTATTTTTACTTAAGGATTTATTTGAGTACAAAAGAGATCATTCCCAAAAGTCCAAAAAAAAAGTTGCAGTTGTAGCTTCATGACATTTGGAAAGCTCAAACGATCAGCTGAGTATCTTTCGACTAACTAAGGAAAAAGGAAGGAAGGGATATCAAGTTGCACAAACCAGCATCCAACTAGATTTAAAAAAAACACTAGCAACATTAAAATCGTATTTCACTAGATCGTCATAGTTATTTTGTAATTTTAAAGGGACATAGATTTTATCTTAATATCTTATCGAAATTGATGATTTTTTCAACTAGCCCAAGTCCGATGCCGTTGGAAAATTTTATCTTTAAGAGTTTATTAATTCAGAGAGTATTAATTTAAAGAGGTTCGAAATTGTTTGGTTTGTTTTCCATTAAGTGTTGCATGGACAAAGTTGTCTATGTGGAATAATCTATCTGTATGGATTAATCTATCTGTATGGACTTATCTGTCTATATAGATCGGGAAGATTTTTGTTTAGGAGGGTTTTTTCATATTTGGAAGGAGCAAGTTTTCAATTGGGAGGGGCGGGTTCAGAAAAAAGTTGGCATTCTACATAAAGTTCTCCCTAGAAACTTACTGAATATACCACTTTCTATATATTAAGCCACTACCAAACAGTCATGTATAGCTGACCGAATAAGCTGGGAGTCTCATCAAGCCCATTAATCTCATTAAGCTGCTAACGAACAGACCCTCAGTGTCAAACATATTCTTGTAGAAACAACACATGATGGGATGAACAGATAGGTGCCACAAAGTTTTGGTAAAACTTGCTTAATGAGTTGTATTCATATAAACGTAACCTATAAGTTCAAAAAGTAGTAGTAGTGGTAGTAATAATAATAATAATAAAGAAAAAGGTGCAAAACTCAAAAATTGCAAGTTTATTATGACCAAAAGACCAAGACTAACCAAAGAACATGTATCTTGTAGCTTACCAATAACTTATCAATCAGATCTCTAGCTTCGTCTGAAAAGTAATCCGGAAATCTGATATCCCGGGCTACAATTCGTTGGAAAATAAGCCACTCGCTTGCATCTTTGAATGGAGAAGTTCCTGATAGCATCTGAAACAAGGTGCAGCCAAGAGCCCACAGATCATTTCTGCACAGAAGAATTTGTTTTCCACGGCAAACAATTATTTAATGTTATATGCTTATATTATATGATAGTCAACCAATGTCAGAATATGAAAACATGAAAGAAAAAAGAGCAATCCTCACCCGATTGTTGCAGGAGAAGAATTTAATATTTCTGGAGGAACATAGGCAGCCGTCCCAACAAATGTGCAGGCCTTGTCATCTAGAGAGAAAAATGCCAAGAATTTAACATGTATTGATGTCGTTCTGACACAAAGAAGACAGAAATACAAACTTACCCGATGCTGCATTTGGAAGGACCGTTATCCTGCTATCCTGCATTGGCTTTACGCTACCAAAATCAGCAATCTTAATATGTCCATCTGATGTAAGAAGCAGGTTCTCTGGCTGTAATTAATTTACTCAATGTTAGCAAGAATTTAATTCCAAGAAATCACTACATTTTATCAAGAAATACCTTAATGTCCCGATGTATCAACCCCAAATTATGAATGTATTCAAGAGCATCTACAATTTCAGCTGCATAGAAACGAGCTTCATCCTCCGTCAAACGACCTTTCTGCAGAAACACAATTTAGCAGTTATCAGATGCCTCACGACAACAAACTCAATGACAAATTGAGCATCATAAATTTAACTCATATAGTGAGGCAGAGAAAATTGAAAATTTTGGAATCCATGGCTGGAATGGGCACTACTAGTATAGAATGAAACACACACCTCTGAAGCTGAAACTTGCATTAGGATAGTGATGTTCATCATCATGACATACATTTTAACATTTAGACCTTCAATCTTGCTTCATAATTTCTAACGGGTATCATTTAGGCTCATAGTCTTTATAAAGAATGAGATCTTTTATACTAGCAACAAGTTTATGATTTTCCATTCTTATAATACTATATATTGTGCATAACAAGATGTATTGAAGCTAAGAAACTTACATACCCTAGTTATTTGATCAAAAAGTTCTCCACCTTCACAGGACTCGAGCGCCATGTCTTCATTGTATAACCAATTGCACACGTCAATTTAGAAATGAGGAGATAAAAAAACACAAAGGACAAAACAATTTTCAGGAAATAAGGAAGACTTGGACTTGTATGATGGAGTATTGCTCACATAGTGAAGTAGTATCTTGGAATGTAAAAAACAGTTGCACAATTCCGGGATGATCCAGCTGATCCAATACAATCCTCTCCAACTTCACATAAGCAATTTTGTTTTCTTTTGTGATGAAGTTTTTATCCATGATCTTCAAAGCATACACTTTTCCTGTGTCCTTCTTTCTTGCTCTAACAACCTGATGACATCAATCAAATTTTAATTGTATAGTCACTAATGAGTTGTAAGGCAACATGTCATTAAAAAAGTTCGTAAACAGAACAGAGATTCTTATGGTAAAAACAAAATAAGTAACAGTTAACAACCAAAGGTTAAATAAAAATTAAAGGAACACAAGCTAGAAAATAGACTCACCAAGGGACAGAAATAACTTGGCCATGATATGTACCTGATGATCAGTTGTGAAAGGAAAGGGAATTTTAAGATATGCTACATATCTAATTTCATTGGTTAATAAGCAAAAGAAAGTCAAAATCCAGGCTGCCAAAATAGACCCAATTCCCAGAATCCATCTACCAAAAAGAGTAGAAACCCTTCTCTCACACTCATCCCTCACAACCTTGCCTATTTGTCTCTGAATGACTGGCACGAAACAGTAACACCTGTCCATTTAGACCTCATTCTTTTAGTAGAATTTATGCAACACTATATTCAACCATAAATTCAATGTTCGGATAAAAGACTTCTGACATTTCTTAAAAGTAATGACAAATAATAAGCATCGGATACGTTTATCGCTATATCAAATATTACTGTCCAGCCACATCTAGATTCGCATTTCTCGAAGATGACAGGCTAACATGTCGAGTTGTACAACGGAATACAATATATCAATTACAAGAATTTTGACGACATCGTAGATCAATCATTTGACTGCAAATATGACATTTCACCATTGACTATGTTAACTTGCTGAAAAAAAGTTAGAGTAAACACTCACTGTCATGGTCACAACTTAGAGGATGATGTCCATTGGGTCAGAAGATGGAAGCAAATAACATGAAAGGAGTGGTTCAAAATAGCATTACCCCATACATTCAACTAATCACTGTTAAAAACATAGCTAAGCTCTCACCTACATGCTACCATTCACATGCCAAACTTATTGGTACACGGATGCATGCTCTCTATGGTGGTTGCAAAAATACTTTTTGTTGTATCCAGGCTCCAGCTACTTACTAGGGGTAAATTTGAGCTAGCTGAGACCAAGCTCGCTTGGCTAGTAAAAGAATTGGTACAGTAAGCCTTGAATCTTGGCTCGCCAATATCAGAAAACTAAAAAAGAACAAAATGCATTCATCGGCGTGTGCACTCGGGCAGGTGGGCTGGGTTCATTATCTACGAGACTCAGAGCCACACAACATTCAGGCACAGCTCATATGGGCAGGCAAGCTAGCTCGGCTTTGGGCTTGGCAAGTTTATTGACGAGCCAGCTCACAAGCTCTCATGAGAGGATTTGGTACATCTATGTCCCTACTGTGTATAATGCACTTTCTTCTTCCTAAGACCAATTATTTCTATTCTATTTCAAACACCTAAAGTCACAGGTGGCAGGCGACTTGATTAAGAAGACAGACCCCAATACTACACCAACTTTCAATAGCCAACCATAAAAACTGTTTATGAACGAAAACAGATTTAAAATACCATAAGCAAAACTTGGATTATCATCTTAAAAGCATAGTAATTAACGATCAAATGCTTGATTTACACAACAAATTAGCATAAAGAGATTAGATGGCATAAACACAAATGAACCAGCAAATTACCATAAATGCAAGGGATAACACAAACGGCATGCAACAAGAAAAGTAAAAGATGTCAAAATCAACATATAACCAACATAATTCAACCAAAATATACAACAAATCAAGAAGAAAAAGGAAATTGAACCTTGGAATAAGAACCAACGCCGTAGATCTTTCCCAATTCGAAATCGTGGATGGTGAAGTTCTCTTGTGGTGCCCTAAATACAAAGCCTTTGGATCTATTAGCATTAGCATCCACATGATTGTCTGAATTATTTTGAATGCTTAGCTTAGAATCAAAATCCTTGTCCATTTCATCACCAACCATTACCAGCATTTCTGTCTTCAGTTTCTCCTAGATTCCCATCATAGAGCCAGATACTAAAAGGGTTTGTGTATATAGTTTTTGAGATAGTAATTTGTTGTTTCTCTCTCTAGAAACCTTGGAAACAAGAGAGCGTTGCACAGCCTCCGATGAAAAGGGGGAACAACGACCGTTGAACAAGAGAGCATATACAAGCAGAATGAGATCAGAAACGTATCCCTTTTTCCAAGTGAATGCAGTCTGACAAAGCCAAGCATCAATTGAAACAACCCAGAAAAGAAAAGCAAAATTTGATTCCTGATTCAAAACCCTAAAAAGCAAAATTGAAGGGGAAGATGTAGGGATTGAGAGAAAGGGTTAGGCATGTGATTAAGATGATGGGAATTTTGGTTTCTGATTCCCAAAATAGTTTGTTTCTCTCTCTGGATGTATTCACCCTAAAAAGGAGGGAAATTTGTGAACCTACGTTGCCATTGCCACCCCTTATGAACTCTGTTGTGATTAAATTCTTCGTCTAATTCTTTTTAGTCAATTCTCGTCAAAATTAAATCTTAGCTTTTATATTTTTAATATATTAACTGATTTTAAAGTTACCAACTTTATCCCTTAAAATACAACTAGAAGGGTATTCGTACAATGCAACGAGATGCGTTTTTATTTTAATGTTTTGTTTTATTTTTTGTCTCTATCGACATAGTACGATTTATGTGGTTTTGATAATATTAATGTTTTTACTTTTGAATAAAAATATATTTGAATATATCATAAAATTTTGAAAAAATATGTCGATATTAATATCAAATTAACTATTTAAAAACTCTCGTTTTATGTACAATTATTTTAATTCTATTTTTTATTATAGGGGGTGCTTGGGATTGCTTATTTAAAACAACTTATGTTTTTTTGTAAAAGTGATTATTAACTTATGTGGTATCAAACCGGAGTTAAATAAAACAGAATTAAAATTATAAACTGGTAATAACCAGTTTTTCATAAGTCATGAAAAATTAACTTATCAAAAACAGCTTATTACCAGTTTGGCACCGGTATAAACAGTTCTTTTTCTTATCCAAACACCAAAAAACAGATTATCATCGATGTCAGACTGAAATAAGTTAAAAAGCAGCTTTTATAAACAAAAATTTATATCAATAAGATTAAAGAATTTATATTAATAAGATTAATAATGTGTATCAATAAGAATAATTAACAAACATTTATACCAATACCATTAATAATTTATGATGAAAATAATAGATTTATAACCAAAATATCAATAACAAAAAATGTCAAACTTTTATAACCAAAATATCAATAACAAAAAATAGATTATCATTTTTGATAAATATTCATCTAGATCTACCTATGTAGTTTAATTTAGGTCTAATAGCGAAATAATTTATTTTTGGCTTAAAAATATATTGTTTATAAAAATAATGATTTTGTTAAAACTCAATGATTATTCTAATTATATTTTAAAATTTTTATATTTAAATTAAGATGTTTATCTTGTATTTGATTATGTTTATCCGCAGTTAGTCATACGAATTCAAAATGGAGTTTTAATAAGTTGTACTTACGTACAATTTACTTGTAATCTTAAATTTTAAGTAATATGCATTAATAAATAATACTTCATACATAAAGAATGACTTTTAAGGTGGTGTTTGATTCGTGGATTCTGGAGGAATCTGATGGAATTGAAATGTTGAATTTCATTGACCAAATTTCATTCTTTCGTTTGGTTCATTCTTTTTCACGAATGAAATATTCAAAATATACAAATTTCACAAATAAAGGAATTTAACATTCCTTAGCAACTACATGGTATTTTGATGGAATGGAATACCTATCTTCATTATACCAAATATGTCTTTAACCTAATATACTATAATCTCATAAAACTCAATATGACCATCGTCGACCACTATTGATCTGAACCACCGCTGATCACCACCACCGTCAACCACAACCACCGACTACAACCGATCTGAACCACCGCCAACCGTCGCCGACCACCACTGATCTGAACCACCGTCAACCACCACCACCGACTACCACCGATCTGAACCGTCGCCGACCACCATCACCGATCTGAACCGCCGCCGACCACCATCACCGATCTGAACCGCCGCCGATCACCACTGATCTGAACCACCGTCGACCACCTCCACCGACTACCACCGATCTGAACCACCGTCGACTACCACCGATCTGAGCCATTACTGATCTGAGTCACTGTCAATCTGAACCACCGCCGATAACCGCCATTTGAACCACCATGGACCACCACTGCTGACCACCACCACCGCCTACCACCGATCTGAACCACCGTCGATCTAAGCCACCACTGATCTGAGCCACCGTCAATTTGAACCACCGCCGATAACCGCCATCTGAACCACCATGGACCACCACTGATCTGAACCATTGTTGACCATCGCCATCTGAACCACCACGGACCATCATCGATCTGAACCACCGCCAACTACCACCGATCTGAAGCACGGTCGATCTAAAACACCATTGACCATCACCGATATGATCCATCGTCGATCTGAACCACATCTGACCATCTTCACCTGAACCACAACGGACCACCATCGATCTATATCACTGCCAACCACCGACGATTACCATCGATCTAAATCACCGTCGGACACCGCCGACCACCACCGATTTGAACAACCGCCGCCGCCACCGCTTATCTGAACCACCGATGACCACCTCCATCTAAACCACTGCGAACCACCATCGATCTGAATCACTGCGGACCACCACCATCTGAACCACTGTGGACCATCGCTTATCTGAACCATCGTCGATTTAGTAACGTTGTTTGGCTTATGATTATATGTGGGTTGTGTATTTTATATTGTTTTACATATTAAATAATTATTTTATTAAAGTATTTTTAGTTTTAAAAAAGTTAAAAAAAATTTAAAAAAAAAAGAGCATTTTTTGGTCATTTACCAATATTTTATTCCAATTCTAAAGCTACATTCTGTGAACCAAACAGACAGATTCAAATTCCTTAACAGTTTTCATTCCAATGTCTGCCAACCAAACAGGTGGTCAAACCTGACAACATTCCATTCCAATTCCTTGAAAGTCAAATTCCTTTAACAGATTTCATTCCATCAAAAAACATTTTGCGAACCAAATACCACCTAAGAGTTTTTGTCAAATGTTTTATAATATAGTATAGATTACAATTTTGTCTATACAATGGAGCGTCTTTCTTAAATCTAAAACTCGAACTTTTAATCATGATTCATACCTTATTTTGATAAAATTAGAGATGAATTGGTTATTATTTTATTTTAAAAGACATACAATATAATTTTCAAATTTTCAAATTATTATTTTTTGATTTAATTTATTTAGATTAAGTTTTACTTTAATTTAGATCTAAAAAAATATTTTATTTTAATTTAGTTTTAATTTATTTATAAAAATAATAATAAAATACTTTTTTAGATGTCAAAGATTGTTTTATTTAAATGATAATTATATTTAAGATATTTTATATTTAAAATTAAAGAGATAATATCTTTAATAAAAAAATAAAAAATGTGTTGTTTTATACTGGATTTTCTTGTTTTTATCGGTTTTTATCTTGCTTCCAAATCGGAAGATATCAACGATAAACTAAATACTTCTTGTGCAATTATCTAGCATTCATTTCGTCACAGTGTCGCTAGTACCATTTTCCCACGGACTTGATGCACATGCCAACAAATGGAAAAGGCTAGGGTTAACGCCTAGTAAGTTCAAGTAGTTTTCATCATAATCATAAAACGGTAAAACTGAAAGACTACCGATTTAAATTATAAATTTCACAAATAAAATATATTTATCATAAAAGCAATATCTTTTCGAAAACCCACTATTTTCTTGATGAAAACTCGTTAAATCAAATTCTCAATCACACAACCGAAACCCAATACTCACACGACAATGAATAAAGCTATAAAACATTAAAATGGAAAATATAGTTTTACTCAAGCCTTATATACAATACTCACGCTTACCTTTGGAAGGGCATAAAAATATCCAAAGATGACGAGGGAGACCCGATTACCATTAATCGTGACAGAACACGTAAGTACGCCACAATTCAATGTTATATAAGCATCACTGACCAAAAATCAATTATTAAGATCAACCCCTTCCGGTCTTAGAGTTTAATGAATTGACAAGCTCAATTAATACAAGTTTCTTGTTTATGGAGTTCCCAATATAACCATATAGGCCCTTACCTTGAGATCTCCAAGATTCTAGTTAAGTTAATTCACTTAGAAATTACAATGTATGATCATTGGCCGATGCCCGACTTTAAGAGTACAAACCTTATCGCCTATTAATACTTGGTGCCTATTTCCAAACTACAATACGCTAGAAATTACATTATATGGTCATTGGCAGATGTCGAACTTCAAGAGTCCATACCTTATTGCCTATTTGATGCAACAACACGGGGATAAACTTCCCAATCAAAACCGACTCCTATGCTTGTAGATTCATCGCATTAGAGTCTAAAATTACACGACACCAATTAAAAGACTGATGCACCCAAAATATGTAATCTAGCAAATGAATATGTCATGACTGCATATAACTCCAAGGGCTCGACATAGAGCAACATAAACTGGACAAATGTCCCCATGACTCATTTGAGTGAAAACCGAGTCAGAAGCTCAATGATATAACTGACTAAAGTCATCAAAAAGAATAAAACACATCTAGCCAACGTTTATGCAAACATATATTCCAAAACGTGATTGACTCACGAACCCCTCAATAGTTGAGACATACCATTTTCCAAATGAAATCGTAACCTTGTACTTCCAAAATGTCTCATGACAAAATAACATGCAATTTCCAAGCGATTTATGAAATCAGTTATATACCAAAATGCATTAATATAAAAAAATTCTCTGTAACACTCCAAATCCATATTTGCATAAAATCAACATATTCCATATAACATGAAATACAAATATAGATATTGTTCCCAATATATACAAATTGCTACATACAAAAGTAGCTACAAATTTTTGTTTATACCAAGTACATGACTTGTATATGACACGTTAATTTGCAAGTACATGCATATATTCACATTCCTAAAATCTACAGATATAAAACAATCATAACCTCCTTCACATCTTCCCTTCCCTTACCTTCCATTGATGCCTATCATGTAATGGACATTTTTAAACACAAAATAAGGATTAGACCACAAGGTCTAGTAAGTAGTTCCTTTATTTGCAATTACAGGGTGAAAATCACCAAAACACTTTTGGAAAGCTAATATTTGAAAAGATAACATGCAAATAACATTTATTGTATCAAATGTCATTTTGTCGTATCCTATAGATGAGACAACCAACTTCTCGCTTCACAATAAGAATATACTCAT